CTGGCAGCAGCTCAGCAATGATTAATGGTGGGTAGTGTATTTAGAAAGGGACGCGGGTGGCGCTGTGGGTAAAAGCCTAAGCGCCTAGGGCTTGCTGATCGAAAGGTCAGTGGTTCGAATCCCCGCGGCGGGGTGCGCTCCCGTTGCTCGGTCCCAGCGCCTGCCAACCTAGCAGTTCGAAAGCACCCCCGGGTGCAAGTAGATAAATAGGGACCGCTTACAAGCGGGAAGGTAAACGGTGTTTCCGTGTGCGGCTCTGGCTTGCCAGAGCAGCGATGTCACGCTGGCCACGTGACCCGGAAGTGTCTCCGGACAGCGCTGGCCCCCGGCCTCTTGAGTGAGATGGGCGCACAACCCTAGAGTCTGGCAAGACTGGCCTGTACGGGCAGGGGTACCTTTACCTTTAGTGTATTTAGAAAGGAAAAAGCACCATTATGTTCTATTATTTCCAGAGCATTTAGAATGCAGTACTTTACTTCATGGTAGTTAGGCTTACAATTGTATAATAAAGGAGTTCAGATATATTATAGAATCATAGCATTGTAGAGTTGGACAGGACCACAAGAGTCATCTAGTCCAACCCTCTGCAATGCAGAAATCTTTTCCCCAACGTAGGGCTCAAACCCACGACCATGAAATTAAGAGTCTCTTGCTCTACCAACTGAGCTCTACCAGCTACAAGGATGCTTGGCAGCGGTGGGATTCAAACCCACACTTCCAGAGATACTTGCCCTATACAATAGTCCCTCTTACCACTGACATATTATTATAGTAGGAAAGAATTGCATGCATCCTCTTCTCATTTTAAAGGGGGGGGAAGGATTAACTCCAAGCTTTACCCTAATGTTTACCTTTAAAGCAACTAGAACAGCATGGTTCTTTGATTTGAGTCCAACAGTTGCAGAGCCTTGCTTCACAGCCTCCATTGCATATTCAATTTGATGAATTCGCCCCTAAAGAAGAAAACACAGATTAAAATGTTCCTCTTTTAAAATGTGCTGACTCCAGAAGTACATTGATCATACTGCATACTGCAATAAGCAACCTTCTGGCACCACTGCAACTGGGAAGGTGAAAGAGACAGAGAGGGGAAAAATACACACCAAGTTACAGTAACAAGGAACTTCTGAACTAACATAGTGAAGCGCTGCAGCTTGGCTTGTATGTGCATTCTCTCCCAGCACCACAACCTTCCCAGGAAGTCTTTTTACTTTGGGCTGCCAGATATATTTCATTCCGTATGCCTTTTATAATTCCATAATTTACCAGCCAATGGAATATAACAAATGCCTTTTTATGTTCAAGTGGAGTCAATGGCTTCACAAGACAGTGTTTGGAACATTGATACAATTATGTTCTGACCAAGCAACCCTAAATACTTTTCACACCAAGTAAAATATAAAGTACCTGAAGAATTACTATCCATTTGGCAAGGATCTCTGTTGTTCATTCACAAACAGCACATGCACACACACAAAACAGGAATTGGTGTAACTGTGTACACACTAGTTCTTACAACTTTCCCTTTAAAAAAAAATGATTGCACTTTCCCCAATGTCTAGGCAATCAATCAAACTCATATGGAAAACTGTTTACTAGCATATTCCTTTGGCTATTAAAGTTAGGTACAAATCACTGCAATGAGTTGAGAAAAATAATAAAATAAATAAATAAATAAATAAATAAATAAATAATACCTGAGGGCTCCAAACGGTGACATCATTGTCATACTGGTTGCGAAACTAAAGTGCACAAAATAGAATCTATTAACATGAGTAGCATTATCAGCTACAAAGGTACAACATTATGCTTTAAAACATTTTAAAGTAAGACATAAGAACAGCCGTGTTGGTTCAGGCCAAAGACCCATCTACTCTAGCATCCGGTTCTCACGGTGGCCAACCTGATGCCTACAGGAAGCACACAAGCAACACCTGAGTGCAACAGCACTCTGCCCACTTGTGATGCCCAGAAACTGTTCAAAGACATATTACCTATGGCAGTGAAGGTACAGCCAGTAGCCACAAAAATATACAGGCTGGGACAAATTTTACTTTCAAGAGAAGACTGAAGAAGGTTTGTTTGTTTAAATGTGGCACTTCACAATTATTAAGGTTTGCTAAGAAGCTCAGAATGCAAAGCTAGGCATAGGGAGGAAGGGAGAAATAAGGTAAGGTATGGGAAAGAAAGAGATTAGAATTACTCAAAGTTATTGCAAACAGCGCAGTAAGTAGCATAGGCACATGGCCTAATCATGTTATCATGGATTAGGGGTAAGAAAGAACATTTTTAAGGTGAGGAGCTTTAAAGAAATGATTCGTGATTAGCAACCCAATACTGAACATGCTGCACAGAAACAAGTCCGAAGTCTAACACTACAATCCTGCTTCCTTAAAATCAAGGTAAGTTTTACTTTTGATTACAGTAAAAGCAACATCATGCCTTTTTTGGCTGATCAAAGCACGAATCAACACACTACTAGACAATTGCAGAATAACAGCTTTCTACAGCATTTAACTGCCCCACACTAGCCATGTTGAATCAAATGGTTTCACTTCTCTTTGAAGGACTGCATTTAGGGTCTACAAGACATTGAAGCACTTTGGCATTTTTAAACCAAATTCAAAACTCCTACTTGAATGAAATTTTAACAGAACACTTTTCTGCTATTTTAGTGGGGATCAAAAAAATTCTAAGATATGTTCTAAACAAGAAATCTGCAAATTAAAATTTGATTATATGAAGGTGCGTGTGAGGGCTACATGAAGGCCTATATTTAATTCAAGAAGTTATGCTGAAGTACATGTCTCTTGCTCATAGAATACCCGGAAGAAGTAAAACTGGAGACTGGCACCACCGGGGCTCTAAAATATTTGATACAGCCACATACATACCTGTTCAACTTTCACCCTGAGAAAAGTCCTCCCCCGCTACCCCGAAGTCATACAGAGGAGAACAATGGAGTCATGAAGCAGAATAAAATGCTGCATCATTGAGCAATGGTGAATGATTCGCTCTTTGTGCAAACTGGACATATGCTTCCTCTGGAGGTTATACAGAAAAACTGGACGGCAACCAGTTTCTTGTCAGACATTTTATCTTGCCTGACAAGCCTGCGATTTCGAAGGGATGAGAAAGGAGTTTCGCTTTCGGTTAAGGAGGAGAGAATTTGAGATTATTATCGGGTTGAGGTGTTGGGTCAGCCATAATAGTCCCTGCATCTTAGAGAAAGGTGGATTATCTTCTTCTTTTATGGAAAAAAAATCTGAACAAACGGTGCGGGAGGGATTGATGCTGCTGCTGCCCCTTTCTTGCGGAAGGGGCTCGGAGGCGCGAAAAAGAAGATTTGGGAATGCAGGAAAGATTGATTTAGGGAGAAGGCGGAGGGATCAGCCAAAGAGATGCGGAGGCAGCGCTGGGAGGCTTCAGGCTCCTGAAGGCGGCAGGAGAAGAGGCACAACCTGGGCCCAGACACAACCACCACTCCGATGTGCTGACTCACCCACTTACTCCGACGAGGGAGACGCAGCCTCCCCGCGATCTCTCCCCGGGCTCCTTCTGGCTCTCCCTCCCTCTCTCCCTCCCGCCGGCCCCCGATCCCCACCCGTCTCACCATGTCGGCTGCTTCCCGAACACCACCACGAGCGGCTGCACCAGCAAGGGTGGCTTTGGGGAAAAAAGAGATCGATAGCTCGGCGAGCGTCGAGTGCGGGCTTCGGGACTTCCTTCCGTCTCTGGCGAGGAATCGCAGCCGATCGCCAAACCCCCGATCCAAAGGCGCCTCGCCAGGACGGCTCCTCCCTCTGGAACAGCGGAAGGTCGGCGCGTGCGCACTGGACACTCGCCGCTTCGTACTGTGAGCTGCCCTGAGATCGTCAGACGAAGGGCGGTATACACATTTAATCAAATAATAATAATAATAATAATAATAATAATAATAATAATAATAGCGACCTGCCCCATCCTTTAGCTGTTGTTGTTTTTCCCCTTTTAAAATACTAACAATGGAATACTATGTGAGTCTCCTCAAAAGTAAGTCCCCTTGAATTTAATGAGATTTAGTAAACGTAAAGGGACCCCTGACCCTTAGGTCCAGTCGTGACCGGCTCTGGGGTTGTGGCGCTCATCTCGTTTATTGGCCGAGGGAGCCGGCGTACAGCTTCCGGGTCATGTGGCCAGCATGACTAAGCCGCTTCTGGCGAACCAGAACAGCGCACGGAAACGCCGTTTACCGTCCCGCCGGAGCGGTACCTATTTATCTACTTGCACTTTGACGTGCTTTCAAACTGCTAGGTTGGCAGGAGCTGGGACCCAGCAATGGGAGCTCACCCCGTTGCGGGGATTCGAACCGCCGATCTTCTGATCGGCAAGTCCTAGGCTCTGTGGTTTAACCCACAGCGCCACCCGCGTCCCTTAATGAGATTTAGTCCCAGGTAAATTAGTGTGGGATTGCAACCTAGATTGACAGAACTGGGCGAGTTGGTGGGAATTGTAATCCAAAATGTCTGGAGGGCACCAGGTTGGTAAAGACTGGTATACATAAAAAGCTGTGGAATTATAGAGGCAATCAGGTGGCACTCTTGGCAGCACAGAGAGTCCAGAGCAAGGCATTCGGCCAGGCATCCCCAAACGTGGCCCTCCAGATGTTTTGGGACTACAACTCCCATCATCCCTAGATAACAGCACCAGTGGTCAGGGAGTTTGGGGGTACCTGCATTAGGCCAACCTTGCAGGAGGGCCAGTGCACTCCGTTAATGGGTGGGGCCAAAACAAATGAGATGGGGCAACAAGTTCAAGTCAAAGCAATTTACAGAAGCTTAAGCAGCCCGGGAAAATATCAAGGCCTTTGCCTGGCACCGAAATTACATCAAGGTCACATACAGGGTATCATGCTTTAATTCTGCTGTATGCATCTAAGTCAGTGTTTCCCAACCTTTTTTGGGCAAAGGCACACTTGTTTGATGAAAAAAATCTCGAGGCACACCACCATTACAGCCCCGTGACGTCAGCGCGCAGCGTCATGCCGGGAGGGACGCATGAAAGTGTAAGTTTCAATTTTTTCCCTCCCCCTTGCCAGGGAACCTCCAAGCTTTGGGGGTGGGGGGGGGAGGAGGCAGCAAAGCGAGGGACTGAGGGACTCCTCCAACGACAAGGGTTGGGGAAGAAGAGAAAGGGCTATTCCGCTCCAGTCACGGGAGGGGAATATGTACTGGCCCAACTGGTGTGCGGTCTTCGGAAAGCGGGGTGCGGGAAGGAAGCCTAGGCTCGGGGTCCACCGACCTCGGCGGAGAAAGGCAACAACCGAAGCCTCCCGACGGTTTCGGGGGAGACGTTCAGAGCTTCCCTGGGAGTTTCTCAGCCTGCCTTTCGGAGGAAGAGGCGGAGGGGGCCTGGGGATGGCGGTGGCCTCGGCCTCGCCCTCCCTCCATCCCTCTACCTTTGTAGTGGACGCGCAGGTTGTTCTGCGAGAGGCCGATGTAGCTGAATTTGTCCTTCGGGCTCCAGGAGCGCGGCAGCGGCGTCTCCTGCTCGTCCACGGCCGGGTAGAGCCGCTTGAGGCGCCGCTTGAGCTCCTTCTCCTGCTCGTTCAGGGCCGGGTCGCCGCCGTGAGGGAAGGGCGCCGGGGCGCTGCTGCTGCTGCCGCCGCCGCCGCTCCCGGCAGGCATAGGCCCAGCTGAGGCGGCGGCGGCTGTTGTGGTGGTGGCGGCGATAGCGGGCGGAGGAGGGGCGGCGGCGGGGCCGAGGTGGCCGGCGGCGGTGGGGGAGGCGGCGGCGGGTGGAGCAGGAGGGCGGCCGAGGCCGGTGAGGGAGTAGGGTTGCCCGGGGCTTGAGGAGCCGTCGCCGGGAGTTGCTGCTGCTGTTGTTGCTGCTGCTGCCCGGACATGCCGGCCTCCTCCTCGTCCGCTGTCTCGCGCTCCTCCCTTTTGCGCGCGCTGCCCCGCCGCCGCCCCATTGGCCGGGTTCTGTCAGCTGATCCTGTGTTATTTCCTGTGTGTGTGTGTGTGAGGGGAGAATGGAGAGAGAAACCTCGGCACCACCACCGCGGAGCTGCCCCCGGCTCGACGCGGATCCTCGCCGCCGCCACCCCGCCTCTCGCCGCCCGACTCGCCCGCCTCCCTCCCACGGCACACCAGGCAACGTCTCGCGGCACACTAGTGTGCCGCGGAACACTGGTTGGGAAACACTGATCTAAGTTACCCCTTCTGTTGCTACACTGAAGTAACTTCCCAGAAAGAAGTTGCACAGCATATTAATGGAGCTTGGGCATGCCTCATTCTAAGTAGTATTCCAGTGTAGTGAATAAATCATGCTGTTGGTCTGTATTGATCATCTGTAAGGATTGATGATTGTTACATCCTGATTCACCAAAATTCACCCAACAACATTTTTACACCCGAAAACCAGGACATCAGGATTTTTCTACTACTACTATCTTACCAATAACAGTCTGAATCATATCTAATGAGAGAAAATATGGGCCCTGGGGTGACTGTGCACATCCCTCATTCCTACCTCCTGTCTGCACACCCTTCTCAAGGTCTTCTTGTGAAGAAAGATACATGCATCTGTTATATCCTTCCTTTTTGCCGTAGCACATATTCACTCTCTTGGGGGTATGAGGAAGAATGGGCACATAATTCTTTTTTCTGTGCTCTCATGTTTGAAAGGGTAGGAGACCTGTTGAAAGAGGACAGGATTCCTGCCCTTTTAAATAGTCTGAGTAGAAAAGGGGATTTCAGTAAAGGTACCTTGGTATGCAAGTTACACTTGCTGAAATCCTCTCTTCTGCACAAGTATTAAAGATACAGAAGGCACCTGGCCATCCTACTTAAAGAGTCTTTAAAGACTTTCAAAATTATTCTTGCTCATCCTCACAGAATAGTAACAGATCCTAGTTGTCACAAGCTATGTCCTCAAGTATAAGCATTTTACATAGGTTTTGCTACATTTTTGGCTGTTGTGATCAAGAATATTATTAGCTCATTGCTATATGTGAGGCTTGTGTCTTTTTACCCTTGTAATTCCCTACTACACGACTAGATGGGAATTACTGCTTCAATTGCTATTTATTTAATCTATTATTTTCATTATGCCTTTGTATATGCACTCTCAGAGTTGGCAGCCTTGTTCAGCAAATAATCTTTTCTGTCTTTCATATCTTGTTTGCCAGTTGTGTTTACTCATCCATTTTTCTCTTTAGTTGTCAAGCAGCAACCACCCAAACTGCATCCTCTGTACCAAAAGCCATCTAAGGAAGCCCAGCAGATGGTCTAGCTGCTGTGAAACAAAGAGTTGCTTTCATTCTTAAATTTGTTTCCTCAGCTCTTTTCATTTGGTAACTCTGTAATAGAACATTTGACCTTTACAAAGATCAAAATGTAAATAATGTTCTTTTCATGTTGTTCTTTAGCAACCATTTAAAAAGTCAAATAACATTAAAGTCCTTTTTTACTTTTAAAATGTTATTGCTGCCAAGATCTCTCTCCCCCTCTGCCTTGGAGTCCTTCTGTGATTTATCACAATATGCATTAGACCTGAACAGGCTTGCCAGCATCAGGTGATCAGAACTATAAAGCCCAACCCTCTGTGGTTTAACTTGGAAATAAGTCCCAGCGAAATCAATTAATCTAGGCTGTAGCCTTGCAGCAGAAGGCCCACTGGGTTCAGTGATGCTTATATCTAGATATGTATAGGATTGCAACCTTTTTCAAGGGAAAAGGGAGTTAGGGGGCAATCCTATACATTCTTACCTTAAGCCTTCTTGAACTCAATGGGTCTTTCTGCTAGGTAAACAGGAATAGGACTGCACTGATGGAAGCAATAATATGCTTTTACTTTGTCTTAAACTCAGAAGAAAACAGGTTCAGATTCAAGACCCATTAATAAAAACATGCATAGGATTGGACTAATTTACAAAAACAAACTTTGAAAAGGTTGTGGTTAAACTTACATAATGATATAGTATGCACAGTATGTCACATTAAAAAAACCCAAATGGTTTAATACATCTAGATTTTACTCTACAGTAAGTTGAAAACTTGCCATTGCATGAAATGTGAAAAGCCATTTCTTAGAACTTTATATTGTTTCCAATAATATACTTATTACTGAAATACCAATAAGCATTTCTCAAACTATCTTATGGCTTCATTTTTGTGTTTTTTTGTATAATTATGGTATTGGTTTTCACTTTGAAACATCTACCTATTATGAAAATTGAACTAATGCTCAGAAAAAGTGTTGCCGATTTTAATTGAGCAACCACCCTGCTGTGAAAAACCTCGCCTGATTTCTTAAGATCATGTTGCTGTGAAAGGAATGGGAGCAGAGCAGCTTTTCAGAGCTCATTTTGCAAATCTAGCTCAGATAGCTAAAGGTCTTGTGCTTAAATTCTGCTTGTGGTTTCCCAGCAGCTTCTGGTTGGCCACTATGAGAACAGGATGCTGGACTAGATGGGCCATTGGCTTCATTCAGCAGGCTCTTATGGAACTACATCCACAAAAGACTTTTTTAGCATGGAAGCATGCCTGGATCATGATCAATAATTCTATTTTTCTTCCCAAGATATATATTTATGAGGCCCATCGATATTTCAGTTATGCTTCTACAGTGGAGTATGCATAGCTCAGTTCCTTGTAGCAGTTCTCTGAAACACATCAATGCACTTCAAATAAATGAAAATGGTAAGCAGAAATGTTTGTAGGATCCAAGCCAAGGTGTAGTGCAAATAGCAGAAGAGCATGGGCCATGAAAAAAACATTTTTTACAAAGACTGCAATAAAGTCAGTGTTTTTCTTATCTGCCTCGGGAATTTAAAACAAGCTGTATTGGATCAGACCAAAGGGCTATCTAGTTCTCAGATGCCTATGGGATGCACACAAGCATGGCATGAGTGCAACAGCCCTCTCCCCACTCTCATGTTGCCCAGCAAATATAATTGTGGACAAAATGTTAAGTATAGAAAATTTAATCATCCTAGCTTATCTGGCTACAGTTCTGAATTTTTGTATATCATCATCCACTAAAGAATGACATTTTAAAACACTGGAGAAGGCACCTGGGAGACTGTTTGGATGATGATTAAAATGTATCTGCCATTGATAAGAAACAGCTATATGCATAAGATGATAGCTGTAGATGTATGAAGTCTGTGCTAATACTTAACTTCTGATTTACAATACAGGAAATGACTTTGGTATAATATACCCAGCCAAGTTATTGTATTTCATAATATTTTTCAGAGTGAATTTTAGTTTTGGGAGTCCTGTTGACATCGTTCACATTTATTTACAGTTTGCCAACCTGCCGAATAATGTATTGGCTGCAACCGCTTTGTGTTATTTCAATTCAACATTATGTACAGCAAACATTTTCTTTGGCAGCGCCATCTTAGTCACCTCTGCTCCAAGACCATCTGCTTTGGAAGCAGAAATATGATCCTGCCTTGACAACAGCGAGACAGCTTCTGGCATCGAAACATCCTTCCTCTGCAATTGTTTTGACAGATTCCTGACTTCAGACAGTACATAATGCATGATGCCTACATTATTAGAGATTTCACTGGTGTAAAGACATTTCTGAAAACAGTGTATTTGATTTTTTTCTATGGTTCCATGTAGGCAATGGTAAAATGTCTACAACAGTCCTGTAGAACTTGAGACCCCTCAAGGCAACCAGACCCCACTAGTGGGGACTACTAGTGATTGACAGTTCTTCTGCATTTGTAGTCCCAGACCTGCAACAGAAATAGCTTTACAGTACTGAGCCTTCGGTAAGTCACCATTCATAGCTCATAGATGATATATGGTTTCATAGAATCAAATACCGGTAATTGTAGAGTTGGAAGTAGTGGTGCAGCGTGGCAGGGTGGGCTCACAGGGGCAGTTGCCCTGGGTGCAAAATTGTTAGGGATACAAAATTTTAACATCTGATGCTGCCTCAATACAACTGCGCGCTTCTGTTGATGGGCTTTGTTGAAAACGGCTTCTTCATGAGAACCAGGAAGTGACCTCTCCAGACAACGGAATGACTCTTCTTTTCTTATCTCTGCAACTGCAATCTCCTGGGTGATCAAATACCATTACACAGTTGAATGCACATGCATATTCCGTCAGTTTTATTGTCTTACTCTTTTTGTGAAACATTTTATAATCAAGCAGTATATAAAAGTGGAGAAATAATAATAAATATAATGCAAACATTATTAAATTTTTATTTACATTTCAAGCCTATTCCACCCCCAATGTTCAGGATGGGCTAAAACATATAGAAATATATACATTAAGCTATTAAAAAGATGAAAAAATAGGCAATACAATATATCCACGATCTTTTTAGCAGTGGTCCATCAGTTGTGGAATCTTGTTACTTGGGAGGTGTTCATAGTCTTCTCATTGTTCTTTCTTCAACCTTAAGAACATTTTTCCCCTGCCATGTATTGTAATGAAGATTGCACTGGTTCAATATATTAGTTCCTACTGTTTTTAACTATTGACTTGTTTTTAACAGTTTTGACTAGATTAAAGTTTTGAGAGAGTTCCTTTTAAAAGGTGGTTTTGTGTGTGTGTGTGTGTAAATAAAAGGTCACCTTGTAAGAGTAATCCCCCTTGGGATTCATGCTATCTTCAGGCAAGGGCTAGAGATAAGGGGGGGGGCGGGGTTTGCAGAGAATTCAGAGTAAGGTGAGAACCACTTGTCTGCTGGCTTCTGATACCTTTTGTATATACATAAAAGTTAATGGCCTGGAGGCACCACAATCTAAATTTCTCACCCAAAGTGAATATAGAGCTGGTGGAAGAAGTGGAGTTATAAAATGGAAGGCAGATAAGTATGAAATAACCCCCCCCCACACACACACACCATGTCAGCTATTTCCCAGGACTGCCACAAGTCAATCCCATTTTTCCTGAATGCTGCTCGAGGCCGCCCACCCTAGCTGAGATTAAGCATTGAATGGTTATATAAATCAAAGCTAACCTTTCCCAATAGTGGCCACTCAAAGATAGTCCAGGAGCAAGATATTCTGAGCTGCCTTTACAAATGGAAAGGGGGGCAGAGTGTCCTCTCTGGAATGGGCATTTGTAGGAGGGGTTCGAAAATTTTGTGCTTTCAAACAGTTATATTCTCTGTGTTTCACCATGTCTGCCTGGGTACTAGGTGTACCAGGCAGTTTACATAAAGAGATTGGCACAGTGCCCTTCCTGAAACAGACACTTGTATGGCTGTTGATTCTGGAGACATTTTCAGCTGCATATCATGAGTGCCAGCTAGATGTGTGATTTAGGTGACCAAAGGATCAGGATTGTTTGCATAAATGGGATAATGGCACAGCGTCCAGTCTCAAACTGACAGAGGTGAGTTTAGGAGAGAATTTCTTGCAGTATACTAAAGGTAAAGGGACCCCTGACCATTAGGTCCAGTCATGACCAACTCTGGGGTTGTGGCGCTCATCTCGCTTTATTGGCCGAGGGAGCCGGCGTACAGCTTCCGGGTCATGTGGCCAGCATGACTAAGCCGCTTCTGGCGAACCAGAGCAGCGCACGGAAACGCCATTTACCTTCCCGCCGGAGCGGTACCTATTTATCTACTTGCACTTTGACATGCTTTCGAACTGCTAGGTTGGCAGGAGCAGGGACCGAGCAATGGGAGCTCACCCCGTTGCGGGGATTCGAACTGCCGACCTTCTGATCGTCAAGTCCTAGGCTCTGTGGTTTAACCCACAGCACCACCCGTGTCCCTTGCAGTATACTATGGACACCAAATAGAAGAGTTATGTCTATGCTTTGGCAGACCTTGGCTGCTAAAATTGCAGGAATTCTGGGTTGCTTTACTAAATGGGGTGTGTATCAACAGAATCAAGTTTTAAGCATGGGCAGTTTGGGGGAAGAGTTATTTTGCAAACAGAAATATAGGCACTTTGTATGCACTGTTTCTGTACTTTAGGAATACTGTCGTTGAACTTCATAAAAACCTTTAAAAAATTATGTATTTCAACTTTTAACACTGCTGTTAAATGGTACATAGGCTGTATTTACAGCTACAGCATGAGAGAAGATGACTTGTGCTACTAAAATGTTGTAGTTTGTATTTTATACACAAACGGGTGGAATTGCATAATTTGTTGCTAAGTGGATATTGAGGGTGTTTCTGTTTTTAACATTGTCTCATTTTTGTCTTTGTGAGATGTTAGTGTAGCTGAGCTCCCTGGTAGGATCAATTTACCTGCAGAAGTGAAAATAACATCTTGTTCAAATTGGGAATATCATTAAGAGCATTAAGATAATGGTCTTTTGAGTCCCCATCTTTGGAACATGTTAGTTTATGTGCCTAGGGAAGGGAAGTAGTTGGGTGGAGCAAGGAGCTATCATCTCTGTGAGTACGGGCAGATATGGTTTGGGGAGAAACTATTCAGATCTTGTAAAAAGGGGTTGACCTTAGTATTCTTCTAGCTACTGGAGTTTACCTTAGTAGTATGGCGCCCTGTGCAAGGGCAAAATGTAACACCTGCCCCCTGCCAAGGCATATTTTTTTTTTAAAAAAATCATATTTATTGAAATTTCCAAAAAGTCCAAAACTGAAAAAGAAAAGAAAAGAAAGAAAAAAGCATTTACTGTACATTTAAAGCCTTACTTTCATTAACATCTTTCCAGGACTTCCCCACCCCTCCCCTTCTTGTATTCCATTTCCATTAAATTAGTTCCACAAGTTCTTACTCCAAATTTTAAACTTATTATATTTAGCCCATTATTCAATTTAGTTCATCTTATATAACCACTTTCCCTTTATATTCCACCGTCTTTCAACATTAAAAAAAAAAAAATCCCCCTAAGGTCGACCCCAGTTCCTTCCACGAATTCCCTTTTTTAGTACACACAACAAACGAAATAAAGAAATAGAAAAATTCAGAATATAATTGTACACCCTTTGGATTCCAGATCTCCCTCCCCCCTTTCCCGGTTTCGATCCCCAATGTCCATCAGACATATAAGGGACCTGCAGATCTTTGGGAAGGAGTCGTGAGGCTCTGGCAGGTCATAGAGCCCTGACACCTCCTCCCCAAAGTTGGTCAAGTGCTAACTAGGCTTTGGGTAGGAGGCAAGAAGACTCTAGGAGCTGTCATACCTCCTTCCTAAAGTCCAGAGCTTTGGGAAGAAGGGAAGGCACCCTCTTGGCCCCTATGTGGAGTAACCAGTCACCCTGCCCTAAATCTGCCTCTGCTAGCTATTATAAAGCCATTACCCAGTGTCAGCTGATCCCCAGCTCACAGAAATGGAGTAGCCATGTTAGTTACTCGTTCTCT